ATCGTGTGCCCCCCCCAAATCCCTCCCTGTTCCTGAGCCCCCCGACCCCCCAAATCCCCACCTGGCCCCCCCAGGACAGCGCCTGCTCCGACCTCTGGGGGCTTCACTTTGGGGCGCTGGCTCTGCAGCGAATGCTGGGGGTGGCGGGGAAGGACCTGGCCCCCCTGCTCAGGACCCTCCTCGCCCAGCTCCGCTTCGTGGCCGAGTGCCGCATCCAGGTGGGTGGGGGTCCCTGGGGGGGCTCCCGGGGGGCTGGGCGGTCCTGCAAGGTGGGGGAGTCCTGGGGAGGGGGCTCCGGGTGCTTCTGGGGAGGCCAAGGTGGGTCTGGGGGCTCTGGGGGGCCCCACAGAGGTTCCCTGAAGGTTACTGTGGGAGTCCTGGGGGGCTTTGGGGACCCCACAGGGGTCTGGGGGTTCTCTGAGGTGTCCAGGGTTACTCTGGGGGTCTTGGGGGGCTCTGGGGACCCCACAGGAGTCTGGGGCTTCCAGGGTTAATCTGGGGGGCTCTGGGGGCCCCACAGGGGTCTGGGGGTTCCCTGAAGGTTACTGTGGGAGTCTTGGGGGGCTTTGGGGACCCCACAGGGGCCTGGGGGTTCCAGGGTAACTTTGGGGCTCCTGGGGTGCTCTGGGGATCCCAGAGGAGTCTGGGGGTTCCCTGAGGTGTCAGGGTTACTCTGGGCATCTTGGGGAGTGGGAGGTGGGGGCAAATCCTGGAGCTCTGGGGCATTTCTGGGGTGTCCCAGGGTGGTTCAGAAGGGGTCTGGGGTCCCCCGGGGGGGCTCCCACGACATCCCCCCAGGACCCACAGGGCTGCATCCGGCTGGAGCGGGTGAACGTGTCGCAGCTGCTGGAGAGCCTGGCGCAGCACCTGGGGGGGCTGCAAGGGAGACCCCCTCACTTCCCCGGCTGTGCCCGCTTGCGCTGCCACCCAGGTACCCCTCGGGACCCCCGGGAGACCCCCGTCAGCCCCCCCCAGGGCACCTGCTGAGCCCCGTCTCCCCCCAGGCCCGGCGCTGACCAGCCCAGCCGTGCGGCACGAGGGGACCTTGGGGGCCAGGCGGGGACCCCCCAGCCCCGCTGGACACGGGCTGCTGCTGCTGGGGGCAGTTGGGGGGGCCCTGGGCCTGGTGGCGGTGGTCTGGGCACTGTGCAGGAGACCCTGTGCCCAGGTGGGGACACTGGGGACACTGCAGGACGCTGGGGAGGGCATGGGGGGCACTGGGGGTGCTGTTGGGGACACTGGGAGCACTGGTGGCTCTCTGGGGGCCGCTGGGAGCACTGGGGAGCACTGGGAGGTCGCTCCCCGCAGCCCCCCCCAGCCCTCACAGGGACCCCCGGCACTGGAGCAGGACGGCACCTGAGCGGCCCAGCGGTACCTGGGGACACACACGGGTACTGGGAGCGCTCCTGCGTACTGGGATCACTGGGAACGCCCCCGGACCAGCGGGGGCTCACCCGCTGCCCCCGTCCAGGCTGGCCTGAGCCACTGGGGAGAGACGGAGACCCCCCAGCTGCCTGCTGGAAGCCCTCGGGGGCTCCACGGGACCCCCAGAGGCAGGGAGAGACGCGGGGCCCAGCGCCCATAAAGCCCATGCTGACACCCCGACTCTGGCGCGTGTTTGGGGCAGCTGGTACAGCCCAGCCGGCCTTTACTGGGGGTCTCACAGGGGCGGGGGGCTCCGGTAGCGCAGCTGGGGCTGGGGCCACTGGCGGGGCAGGAGGTAGAGCAGGGCCAGCAGCGCCAGCAGCGCCAGAGCCCACGGTGACAGCGGCGACCGCGGCGCCTGCTCGGCCAGCTCCTCGCTGCTCCCCACCAGGCCTCCTCCTCCTCCTCCTCCGCACAGCGCCGTCCCCGTGTCCTCCTCCTCCTCCTCCTTGTCCCCTGTCCCCTGGGCACGGCCTGTGGGTCAGTGGCTGAGGGGCCCCTGCGGGGTCCCGCCCTGACCCCTCTTACCGGGCTCACCGTGGCCGTGGCCGGGGTGTCCAGCTGGCCGCGGGGGCACCACGGGCGCCTGGGGGACAGAGAGGAGGGTGAGGACGCTGAGGTGAAGGCTCCGGAGAGTCCCCCCACCCACGTGTCCCCTCCTACATGGCCCAGGCGTCCCGCATCTGGCCCAGCTGCTGCCGCAGCCGCGTCGTCTCCAGCCGCAGTTCCTGCAGGGGAGAAGGATTGTCACCCTGGGCCCCGGACCCCCACGCAGACCCCCATGCCATGGGGCTTTGCTGTGGCCCGGGGGCTCGGTGGCCGCTGTCCAGGCTCACAGCGAGGGCAGGCAGTACCTGCACCACGGGGGGTACCTGCACCATGCGCTCGTACTCCTCCAGCGCTGCCGTCAGCTCCTGCGCCCTCTGCCCTGCCTGTGGGACAGGGCCTGGGCGTGAGGGCCCGTGGGAGAGGGCCGGGGGTGGCCCTGGTGGCAGCTGAGGTGGCAGCAGTGTCGCTGGGCAGCGCTCACCTGGGCGAGGGCCGCATCCCGGGCAGAGAGCAGGGCGGTGCCACGGTAGAGCTGGGCCTGGGCAGAGGGACGGACGGGGACAAGGACTCGTGTCACAGTCCAACACAGCCCCGGCACTGCCGGCCACGGCCGCTGTGCCAGTGCTCACCTCCAGGCTGGCCATGCGAGCCGCCTGAGCCTGGATCTGCTCCCGCAGGCCCTGGCCCTCGGCGAGAAGCCGCTGGTTCTGCCGGGGGTGAAACAGGGCTGGGGTTTCCCGTGGCACTGCCCCACTGGGGCAGCCGCCGGGGCCAAGGCTGACCTCCTCCTGTAGACCCTCGGCCTGCAAGCACAGGCTGCGCTGCTCCTTCTCCTGGGGAGGGCACGGCCGTCAGGGGACAGCATGTGACGGCACGGCGCCACGTGGCGCCTCAGCTTAGCCTCTCACCGCGTGCCGTGCCTGCCGCCGCAGCTCGGTGTTCTCCTCCTCCAGCCGCTTCACCACGGCCTTCACGTCGTCCAGCTCCTCCACGGCCACCCTGGCCTGCTCCAGCGCCTGCCGGCTGCTGCTGGGGGCAAACACGAGGCAAATGCTGCCTCAGCATTGCCGGCAGGCCAGTGCAGACCCCGCGCCCGGGAGCCCTTTGGGAGCACCTTCGCAGCTGCGCCTGGAGCTGTGCGATCTCCTCGGCCAGGCGGGCGTTGAGCTCCTCGGCCAGCTCGGCATCCCGCTGCAGTTTGGCGTTCTGGGCCGCCAGCTGCCGAGCACGGCTCCGCAGCCCCGCGGCCTCGGCGCTGCTGGGGAGTGCCACCGGTCCTGGGCTGCTCCTGGGAGCACGGCCAGGGCTGGCGGGGTGTCCCCGCAGCGGGCACTTACGGGGTGGTGACGTCCGTGTTGTCACCCTGGAGCTCAGTGGCTGCTGGGGATGCCTGTCCTTCGTCCTCTGCGGGATGGGACACAGTGTTTGTGTCGCCATCGGGGCCACCCCGACTCCCTTTTCCTGTGCCCACCTGCTGGCACTACTCCGGCGTCGCCAGCGCCCGCATCCTGCTCCTCGGCCCTGCACGGACAGAGCCGCGGGTCAGCACCGCTGACGGCCGCAGCTGGCCCCGGGCGCTGCCCCATCCCCGGGCACCGACCCGTCCTGCCGGCACGCCGCGATCCAGGCGCCCATGGCGCTGCGGAACGCGGCCCAGTCCAGCGCCGTGCCCGCGGCCGCGGGGTCCAGCGCCCGCCGCAGCGCCTGCAGCCGCCCGTCGCGCCCGCTGTGCCCGGTCATGGCCGCCACGTACTCCACCACCCGCTGCGGCTGCACCAGCCCTGAGCGGCACAGAGGGCTCAGGGACCGCCGCGGGCAGCCCACCACGGCCACAGGGGCTTCGGCTACCTGTCCGCTCGGGGTCGCAGGCAGCGAAGGTGCAGTCCAGGGCGAACTCGTCCGAGCAGCCGCTCTCGGCAGGGGCTGAGGCAGAGGGGGGGACACGGGTTATGGAGGGGCCCTGCGCCTCACCCCCCGCCCCGCTCCCTCATGGTCCCCGCACCTGGCAAGGGGACGGCGGCGCCCGGAGCTTCCGCAGCCATGGTGTTCGGGGGTGCTCCGGTGCTGCCGCTGCCCCCGGGGCCCGCCCGGGGGTGTCGGGGGGCCCGGGGGTGTCGGGGGTCC